GGCTTTATGTACAAGACTCATTTAATCCTCACAGCTCCACTCTGAGGGGTAGATTCTCCCTGTTTGACAGATGAAGATACGGGGACTCAGAGCTGAAGTCCTTTGCCCAAGCCATAGCCAGAAAGGATCTGCTGAGTAATCTGTGAGCCGTGGGGCCTGGCTGGGCCTGGCTGGGCCTGGCTGGGCCTGGCTGGGTCTGGCGGGCAGCGCAATGGCCGAAACCTTCTCAGGGCATCTTCCAGATGCGGGGCTCCAGGGCTAAGATTTGGAAGAGGCTCTGTCTTTGAGCTCAGTGAGGTCTGAGGATGGAGTGTGGAACTTGTTCCGAGGAAGAATGTATGAGCTTTGCCTTCCTGGTCAGCAAGCCGTCTGAATCCAGTGAGCTCTGCATAATAGCCATCAGTTAACTAAGACAGTCTCCAGTTGCCTGCGTGGTGTTTGGGCTGGGCCAGTCCTGCCCCTTGATGACGGTAGCAGAAAGTCTTGACACTTTGGGGTCAGGCACAACCAGGTGCTGGTTCTCTGCTTCACCACTGTTAGCCTTGAGGCCTTGGTCAATCCTTGTAATTCTCTGGGCCTCAGTTTCTGCATCTGTAAGATGGGGATGATGATACCCACTGGGGAGTTGGGAGGATCAGAGACAGTGTTTATAGAGGATGCATGCAGTTGGGGCCCCTGACAACTGGCAGAGGCAGTTGGAGCTAAATGTCAGCCCCTGTTGGGTCCATGGCCCAGGTGCTCCACAGAGGTCTCCTTTGTGATGATGATTTAGGTAGTGGTTTTGAGCCATTAATGCATGGTAATGGTTATTGAGGTTGTGGCTGTGGTTCAGGGCTATGATTGATTTGATACTGAGTGCCCCACCCGCAGTCAGGAGCACTTCCCTTTGATTTGAATATGGTTCTGTTGGGAAAAGATGATTTGCGTTTACAGTTACTCCTCTTACACTGTCTGCTAAAATGCAGCATGGTGAGCAGTCAGGACAGCCTGTGGGATGTTACAGAGCCCACACGAACCCCTTACCTTCTCTGGGCCTCGCCTTTCCCAGTGGTAACTGAAGAGTGGTGGAGGAAGAAATCATTTCCCGGGTCCCTAGCTAGACCTTTGGGATAATCCGTGTGCCCCAGATATCCTACGGGCAAGGATACTGGAGGCCTGCTGTGTGAAGTCTCAGCATGAGGGCCAAACTTGGGTCCACCTGTCTGTCAGTTTGCATGTTACGGCCCTGGCCTTCGGCCCTCATGGCCACATGGCAGCCCCGTGGAGGTGACCTGACTTCTTTTCCCCTGTCTGGGGTCAGCTATCTCCCTGGGTCTTGGGAGATACTGCAGCCCTTCTCCCTACCACTTCCCTCCCTCCCATGGAGATTCTTCCTTCTCTAAAGCAGAGCCCTGGGAAGGCCTCCAGAGACGCACAGGGCAAGGGGTGGGGGAGAAGGGAGGGGCAGAGTGAGACACAGCTTGGCACCCAGTGGTCCCTCTGTTGAAACACCCTCTCCTCCCTTGTGGCACTTCTCCTCCTTTTCCTTTTAGGCTTCGTTGCTCTCTGCTCCCACAGTCACCATGCCCCTCTTCCCCACCCTGACTCATTCTCTCCTGGGATTTTGTGTCCTTGTCCCTCTTGCCACCTGTTCACTGGGGCTCCTGGTTCACTTCTGAGGCCCTACTGTCCAGTTGCAGGCCTGGCACACAGCAGACTCCAGAAAGTGGTGAATGGATGGATGGACAGATGGGCAGGGTGAAGATGAGGCAAGAGGAGCACCCAGGGCACACATATGAGGTCGCACATGCACATGGGACCTGGTCCTGTCCTGTAGAAGGGTAAATGACTGCTTACGGAAGCCTGCTGAAGTCAGAGCTGCTACTGTTTTTTGAGTATTTACTATATGCCAGGCATATCACGTGCATTATCTCATTTAATTTGATCACAACATCTCCATGAGATGGGTACTATTATTATCCTCACTTTTCATGCACAGAAACAGACTTGGAAGTTTGTGCCCAAGGGGAGGAACTGGAATTGGAAGCTGGGAGTGCCAGACTCAAACCTGCAAGAGTCTTCCCTGAAGGCCTTCCTCACTTGCCCAGTCCCTTCTGACCGTGGCTCTACGGGACTGAGGGTGTGTGGGTCCCAAGGGTTCTGAGCACTCTGCTTTCTACCTCCTGGGGCTGGAGAGAAGGGAGTGCGGGGGACACAGTCTGTGGTTTCTCCAGTGTCACCTGCTCCCTCTGGGCCTCAGTTTGCTCGGCTGCACGTCAGCTTCCCTGCTGTAACCAGGCCCTGGGGGGTTCTGCAGCTCTGCATGGCTCCTTCACTGAGCAGCCAGGAGCAGCCCCCCTCCGGGTCGGGTTTGCAGGGGGTGCTCCCAGACGGCCACCCAAGTGATGACTTGCGCAGGGCCCAATGGCTGTGGGTTCCTGTCACAGGCCTTAGTACCCCCCCCGCGACCCCCCCCCCCGGCCCAGGTGCTCTCCAGTGACTCACCCCTACCCCCACCATCCCTCCTGAAGCTCTTAGAATTACACCTCGCACATGTGGTGGCGGCCGCTGTGGGCCCAGACGGGGCTGGATGTAATTTACCCCTCTTGGCTCAGCTGCGCTGCCTCCTGGAGGCCGTGGAAGGAGCACTGCCAGGAGCCAGGCGGGCTGAGGACACCCACGGTCCCTATCCACTGTCTTCTCCGGACCAGCCCCCCAGCCTGCCTGCTTTTTCACTCGCAGCGTCCCCACCCCCGCCAGGCCTGAAACCACTCCAGTGTCTGGGCAGCATGGGTCCCCTCTCAGTGTGCACCCACCCCCAGCCGCGAGTGCACCTGGGCTCTGGGGACGCTGAGCCTGGCCAGGGGGAGGAGGCGGTCCCAGGTAGGATTCTGATCTAAGAGCAGAGTCCTGTTGTCACTGCCCCCTCCACACACTCACGGCCCCAGAGAACACCTCTGAGGCCTTGCAAAGCCACATCAGCTTCCAAACTTGGCTTTAGTCAGAGAAGTTCTGTTTCCTCAGAGACCACCCTGGAGTGCTCCTTGATGGCTAAGGGTACAGGAAAAGCGGGTTTCGGATCCCTGCTCCGCGGCTTCCTCTGCTGTGCGATTCTGGCAGGTCGCTGCAGCTCCTGGGTGTCGGTCTCCTGCTTTGCAGTGCGGGAGTGATGCCAGCTCATAATTTGGGGTGAAGCGCGAGTGTGCGTGGAACGTCTGCTGCAACATCCAGACCTCCACGTGACTGCTCGGTAGAGGTTGTCCCCGTGCTCCTGCTGCTGCCAGTCTGACCTCTTCCCGGCGCCTTCTCCAACACCTGTCTCTCCGTCCCACGCCCGCCCATCACTTCGCTCACTCGCTCACCCGTGGGCTCACTCATGCGTCCTTAGTCTCCTTCAGTCGCACGGAGTTTGATGCTGAGTGCCCCACCCGCAGTCAGGAACACTTCCTTGCCCTTCACAACCCTGACACTCAGCAGGCGGGACTTTTGTAAAAGTCCCTGATTTGGGGTTTGTCTTATTTTCCTAATGATTCGATTTCGGTTATGCATCTTTGGCAGAAAGGTCACCTAAGTGCTGCCTGTATTCTCTTCATTGCATCCTATCAGGTGACACCCAGTGGTAACTTGTCTCATCCCTAATGACGTTCGCTGTGATCACTTGCTTCAGGAGGTGTCTGCCATGCTTCTCTACAATGAAGTTACTCATTTTTCCCTTTGTAATTAATAAGTATTTGATGGGAAGTTACTTTGAAGCTATGTAAATACCCTATTCCTCATCAAACATTAATTTATCTATTCATACCTGTATATACTTTGGTTTCCTATTTTATTCCATGGAATGTAATCTGTCGTTATCACTATTTTAATACACGGGTTGTCCCAGCTTTAGCCTGTGGTAGGTAGCCAACCTAGTTTGTCTGGGACTGAGGGGTTTCCCAGGATGTGGCATTTTCAATGCTAAAACTGGCAAAGGGGGCGCCTGGGTGGCTCAGTCGTTAAGCGTCTGCCTTTGGCTCAGGTGAGGATCTCAGGGTCCTGGGATCAAGCCCAGCATCGGGCTCCCTGCTCGGCGGGAAGCCTGCTTCTCCCTCTCCCACTCCCCCTGCTTGTGTTCCCTCTCTCCCTGTGTCTCTCTCTGTCAAATGAATAAATAAAATCTTTTAAAAAAAAAAAAACTGGCAAAGCCTTGGGCAAACCCTGACAAGTCGCTCCCTGAACCCGTGGGAGCCCTTCATGCTGGACCCTGTGTCTGCTGCACAAGGTCCCTGTCATTCTGTGAGTTCATCCTTACTTGCTGGCTCAAGAGGCTCCAGGTTCATCTTATCTGACCCAGCTCTAGAATCACACATTTCTCCAAGAAGACCTGGAACCAGGACCTTTTGAGTGTTAGCCTACACCACACCAGGGGGACTGGGGCAGACAGAACTCAGCTTGCCTACACGCCTCACTCTTGTCTGCCTCTGTGCCTGTTTCCTGGCTCTTTTCTCTTCCAGGCCCCTTGGCAGACACCTGCCTTCCAGACAGCTTCTCTTGCAGCCCGATGCCTCCCTCCACCTTGCAGAGCTGACCTCCTCCTTTCTGCCCTCACCGGGCAGTTTGGGGTACCTCTCCATTGTCAAGGTGATCTCCTCCCTCAACTGGAAGCCTCTCTAGCACAGGCCTGAGTCAACTCTGATTCTTCTGTGCTCTGTACAGGGCTGGAATTGGGGGCTGTTAGTTAAATGATTGGATCTAGAGTCATACCCCTTCATCGAGCAGAAAAGCAGAGAGGGAGGGTAACATTTCAGGGTCACACAGTGAATCTTTGCAGTCTGGAGTCTGTCCTTGAACTAACTAACTTTCTTTCTTTCTCTCTCTCTTTCCTTTCTTCCTTCCTTTTTCTTTCTTTCTTTCCTTTCTTTCTTTCTCTCTCTCTCTTTCTTTCTCTCTTTCTTTCTTTCTTTCTTTCTTTCTTTCTTTCTTTCTTTCTTTCTTTCTTTTTCTTTCTTTTGTGTTTTAGACCTTTCTTTGACAATCAACAGTTAGTTCTCATCCACATTAACTGTCTGTAGACTTTTGAAAGTGGTGACAGGTACGTGGGTAACCAAGGTATGGAGCTTGTTTGGTGAAACTTCATCCTTGTTCTGTTTCTGGACAACTGCACACAGATACCGTGGAATATTCCTTATTCCCTTGGCCCAGACAGCTTTGTTGAGCCTGGTGTCAATGTGCACATCTGGAGTTCCCATCTCCTTCATGGCAAATTTCTGGATCCCTTTGGGTGCCCGAGGGGCACGCTTCATGAAACCCACTCCGTGGATGCTCTTGTGAATGTTGATGGTGTGTTCTCTGGTCATTATGTTGTTGATGGCAGAATGGCCCTTCATCTTCTCACCACCCATCTTTGCGGGAGCCATTCTGCCAGGCTGGAAAGCGAACTTTGGTTTCCTTAATTCTAAAATGGGGCTAATACCTCGGGGCCTTTCTGTGAGAACAAAATGTGGTAATGTGTATAAAACACTTAGGATAGTGCCTGGAGGAAAAAAAAGGAAGACTGTCTCCTCTGCTGGTGGCTGGAGGAAGAAGGGGGTGGAGAGGAGAAGCCAAAACAAAACAAAAAAAAGGGTAGTACCTGGCATCTGGTGAGTGTACCTCTCAGTATCTCTGGGGGCCTTTCTACTTAAATCTTCATATTGTAGAAGCAGTACTATACATTTTAGAAAACTAGAAATACAGCAAAAAGAAAACCATTATATTCTCATCATCTAGAGATTGCCGCTGTTGCTGCCACTTTAGTGATTGTTCTTCCCGAGGCTTTTCTGTGCATATATTTCCCCCCAATGAGCTTATACTGTGCGTTCCCTTTTGTAACCTGCTTTTCTTCAGGCAGCAACCCACCACTTTGTTTCAGCAAATTTCAGCATATCTAATACTCAGATGATACTCACATTTCTCCAGTCATCTCAAAGATAGCCTTTATAGCTGTTTTGTCCATGCTGGTGTTCAATCCAGGACCACACCTTCTATCTGGTTCTTGTGTCCTGCCAGTCTAGCCCAGGCCCTCCCTTAGGACATTGATCTGTAGAAGAGACTGGACCAGTAGCCATGGAGAATGCCTCACCATCTGCCTTTGGTTGTATTCTTGTGAAATTTAGCTTGTTCTCTGTCCTCTGTATTTTCTATAAAGTGAAGTATATCCAGGGCTTGATGAGTTCACTGGTGCCTAGAATACCCAATAGGTAGTGATGTGCCCTTCCTGTGGCCTTTCCTCACCATTAGTGGTGCCAAGGCCTAACACAAGATTAGAGGAAAGGCAATGTGACTCTCCCTCATATGGTTGCATAGATCTCCTTTTTTAGAAACATGGGTGGCTCCCTTGGCACCATCTGAATGCCCAGTTCTGGGAGACCTTTTTAAACTATACAAGCAAACTCGTCCAGTTGCTGAGGGGAAGTTGGTCCTGGGGTTTTGGGCTTTGGGGTGAAAAAAAAAAGCACAGAACAAGGACATGAATTAAGTTTCATCTTGCTGAGTGCAAACCTAACAAAACATAGTTCTGTTTTTACAGACATATGATCTGGGTTAAATCCCAGCTCTGCTGCTTACCAGCTGGGCAACCTCGGGCAAGTTACTTAACCTCTCTCGGCCTCACGTTCCTCCTTGGATTTCTTGTCTGACAGAGTTGTTTTGAGGGCTAAATAAAAAAAGTATCCTTGGCTCTTTTCTCCCGTAGATGGAAAGCTCTTCAAGGACAAGGCTAAAAATTGTAAGAAATCCAAAGATGTTTGGGGCACCTGGGTGGCTCAGTCAGTTAAGCATCCGACTCTTGGTTTCAGCTCAGGTCGGGATCTCAGGGTCCTGGGATCGAGCTGCACCCCTGTCTGGCTCTGTGCTCAGTGCAAAGTCTGTCCCTCTCCCTCCCCTTCTTCTCCTCCCTGCCACCCCGTACTCGCTCTCTGTCTCTCAAATAAATAAATAAAATCTTAAAAAAAAAATCCAGAGACGCCTGGGTGGCTCAGTCGGTTAAGCATCTGCCTTCGGCTCAGGTCATGATCTCAGGGTCCTGGGACTGAGTCCCATGTTGGGCTCTCTGCTCAGCGGGGAGCCTGCTTCTCCCTCTGCCTGCCACTCCCCCTGCTTGTGTGCTCTCTCTCTCTGTCAAATAAATAAATAAAATCTTTTAAAAAAATCCAAAGATGTTCGTTGGATTAAAAAAAAAGAGCACAGATGATACAGTAGGTGATGAGTATCATGGATGAGAAAAATCATCCATTTAGGCATTTGTTTATTTATGCTTTCAATTCTTTTTTTTTTTTTAAGATTTTATTTATTTATTTGACAGAGAGAGAGACAGAGAGAGCACAAGCAGGGGGAGCAGTAGAGGGAGAGGGAGAAGCAGGCTCCCCACTGAGTAGAGAGCCTGACGTGGGGCTCGATCCCAGGACCCTAGGATCATGACCTGAGCCGAAGGCAGATGCTTAACCGACTGAGCCACCCAGGCGTCCCTATGCTTTCAATTCTTTTAACATGTACCCATTCCAGGTTCTGTGTACCTCCATCCATGAAGTTCAGGGGTCTGGGAAGGTGCAGATAGATTTTAGTGTATGGGAGTCCAGAAGGTCTGGCCTGGTCATTCAAGAAGGCTTCCTGGAGAAGGAGACTGGGATGGAAGGGGATGTTTGGGGGAGACTGAGACGGAAGGGGAGGTCTGGGGGAGACTGAGCAGGGGGAGATGGTCTCTGGATACAGAGCTGTCTGTCTCCTGGCACAGGTGGCTGCTGGGAGGGCTGGACAGGGCTTGTGGCAAGAGGTAAGCCCATGCTGGCTTCAGAGGTTGCTGTTCTTCTCTGTTCTCGTCCTCCTCCTCCCCTTCTTGCCTGTCCCCCCTGGGGTCTCCTGGCCAGGGCTTGGAGCCTTGTGTGACCCCGACCACCCCTGTGTCTGTCTGCAGTGCCGGATGGAGTGCCGAGATGTGCCAGCTGAGACACTCTATGACGTGCTACATGACATTGAATATCGAAAGAAGTGGGACAGCAACGTCATTGAGACTTTCGACATCGCCCGCTTGACAGTCAACGCCGACGTGGGCTATTACTCTTGTGAGCAGGCTCAAGCACATGGTGCCAGCCAGGCCTCCAGCCCACAGCCTCTTTCTGCCACCTGCCCGCCTTGCGGTCACTCCCGTGGCCAGGCTGCTCAGACACCTGAGTGCTGAGATGCAGGGCCGCCCTCTGTGACAGCCTCGCCCATTCCCAGACACTTGGGCACACACACGTGCACACTCACAAACACACAGACACTCCCGTGCTCACGTATACACACTCCACACCCGTGTACACAGTCACGTACGCAGCCCACGGCCACGTGCCATATGCTCACAGTCACACATTTTCAGATACACACACTCACAATATTATGGTTCTCCCACATACGTTCACACAGACAAACAGCCAGGCCAGCAAGGGAAGGGCCGTGTGAGGTGGTGAGCAGGAATGGCCCGAGACGAGAGGGGAGAGGGTTCTGCTCTGTCCCTTTCCTAGTCTCAGCTCTGGGACTGTGGGCTGGGAGGTGGAGGGGTACCCATTTGGATCAGGGAGAATTGGCAGTTAACTAGGCATCTCTGTGTCCTGGGCCTCAGCTGTGCCCTCCCTTGCAGGTAGTCAGGCCAGTGGCCTGGCTGAACTGTCCCTTGCACTCCACAGGGAGGTGTCCAAAGCCCCTGAAGAACCGTGATGTCATCACCCTCCGCTCCTGGCTCCCCATGGGCACTGATTACATCATTATGAACTACTCAGTCAAACATCCCGTGAGTCTCCCTGCCTCCCCTGCTGGGTGGGCAGGGGAAAGTGCCAGGTACGACCAGGCCTGCAGGCCTGGCCCAGGAAGAGGCCTCTGGCTGCCATCATGACTTTCATGTGACTTCAGCCTGGGCATGACGCTCTCTGGCCCTCAGTTTCCTTCCTGTATAGTGAAAATAATGGCTCTTGTCTCCCTGCTGAGCTCTCAAGCAGATGGGAAGAGGGTGATGAGGGCCATCACTGTGGACGAGTGCGATGGGCTGGCTGGGAAAGGGGGTGCGAGGGGTGAGAGGCAGGCTTCTCTGACCCTCCCTGAGGTTGGGCCACCTTGCTCTCCATGGCAGGCAGGACAGGCAGGTACAGCTGGCCTGAGCAAAGATGAGTGTGTGTGTGTGTGTGTGTGTGTGTGTGTGTGGGAGTGCCCATGTATGTGCTCATGACCCCAGACTGGGGGCTTTCCTGAGGAGAACGGGGTGACCTAGCCTGAGTCCTCCCTTTCTCCTCACCCCTGCATCAGGCCTGGCCTGGAGTGGATGCCAGGGGGTTTGAACTAACTAATTCTGTGTGTGTGTGTGTGTGTGTGTGTGTACTCACAAAGACACTTCTTTTGTCCCAACCCTGAGTCTCACCTCCCTTTGCCTTCCATCCCCAGAAATACCCGCCTCGGAAAGACTTGGTCCGAGCTGTGTCCATCCAGACGGGCTACCTCATCCAGAGCACGGGGCCCAAGAGCTGCGTCATCACCTACCTGGCCCAGGTGGACCCCAAAGGTGAGGGCTTGGCCCTGGCAGCCCATCATGGGATCCTTTCCTATACTACAGGGGATGCGACCAGATCAGGAAGCCAGGGATCTGATTTTTGATCCCTAATTTTGATTAGGGATCAAAAAGGGCCTCTGTTAGGAGCTGTTTTGTATTTTGGGGCATCTCCATCCAAAATATCATTTGAACCAAGGTTTGAGACTTTATAATGGTTTGAAAAGCAAAGGCCAAGGTGGTAGATGCTGCTCCATGATAAAGCTTGGAGCTCTCTTCCTGGACTCCCGCACCCCCAGGCTCTGACTTGCTTCCCGCTCACTGGCTACTCTCACTCTGTCTGTTTTGCTGGCTCCTATCCTCTGCCCATCCTGGAGGCCTGAGCCTCCTTGGGAGGGCTCAGCTATTCTCAAGGCTTCTGTGGCCAGCTGACGTGCATCTCTGCTGGGATCCAGATCCCTGTGGCCATTGGCCTCCTGGACTCGTCCTTCAAGATGTCTTTCCAGGACCTGAGACTCACTGTGTCCAGTGCTGAACTATCTCCCCTTCTAGGTTGTGCCTTCTCCTAAGCCTCCAACCCCCAGTCACCCATGCCAAGAACCTGGGGGTTGACTGGGGTGCACTCTACTCAGCTCCCAAATCTGGCCACCCATTCTTACTGATTCTACCTCCTAAATAGCTCCTGAATCTGTCCTTTCTCTCCATACTCAGCCACCTTGTCTGTCCTTACAGCTACCAAGGGACTTTTCCAAAACATGCCTTTCCTCATGACTCTCTTCTGATTAAAATTCTTCTCTGGCTGTTGCATTCAGAGTAAAGTCTAAGCCCCCTCCCCAGCTTTCCCAGTGCCTCCTCATACCTTAC